CTCTCTCTGTCCTCCAGACGTCAGCTACATTGGCTACTGTTTATTTTCAAAAGCATTAATCTCAGTTTTCCAGAATATTTAAAACAATATCTGATTCCTTTCCAATCCTCGTACAGTTTGCGTCATGCAAATCAGTCTTTTTTTGTAGTTCCAAGAGTGAATAAAGAAGCTGGAAAACATGCATTTAAATTTAAAGCTCCGTCTGACTGGAACAGTTTGCCGCTGTCTATTCGCTCTCTAACTTCTCTGCCTCTGTTAAAATCTGCTTTGATACAATATCTCCGGTATTCATGTCAATGTTTTGATCTTAGTTTATGAGACCTAAACTTGTCTTGTCTCCCGATTATTGTTATTACCATCAATATTAATAGTATTATCTATATTTTGTGTAACATCAGTACAGTCACGATGTGTGTGTGTGTGTGTGAGAGTGATTGTGTGTGTATTTGTTATGGTTGCTTTTTTATTTTTATTTTTTTATTATTACTATTTGTTTTGTGTTTTTTTTTATGATTTTCTTTTGTCTTATTTGCATCTGTTTTGCTGTATCTGTCCTTGTGAAATCTTGAGGACCCCCTCGAAAACGAGATAAATAAATAAAATAAAATAAAATAAAATAAATAAATGTGTTGAATGTGTCGAATATCCATTATAAAACTAATTTTACCGCACTTCTCCTCCTCCACCTGCCGCAGCGGCTTTGGCATAGGAACGCGGCTTTACCACCAGGCCAGATATAATTAGGTCGTTTAGGCGAGTATATTGCTCCAGGTCCGCGACGCGGTTTTCCAAAACCATAATTTTCTTATCCTTTTAATCATTTAGGATCCTTAAATCTCTGACTTCCCGTGCCAGGTCCATTACGGTTTGTTGTTGTGCTGATATTTTCTGCATTTCACTGGCCAATGCATTCAGTGTCGTTTTAATAGTTTCCAAATCACCTTCCATTGAAGCGGCGTTTCTCGTTTTAGGTTTTGTCATTAATCCCCGATAAAGAGAGGCTCATATACGAGTACGCCTCCAGCATGAGCAGTGAGAGTTTACAACTCGCTTAGGGGTTAATCCAGCTGGTGTGCTCGCTGACTCACCGCGATGTGTGCCAGCGCGATGCCCGTAAAAGTTGCAGAGTCTAGAAATATAGCAGTTAACTCTCTTAAGTTTGTTTAAACATTCGATTTGGTTTGTTCAAACATGCAATAAGTGTTATCCAGAGTCCACGAACAGAGAGCTGTATTGTGCTGCAGCTGAACCGGAAGTTCAGAAGCATTTGAAAGTCCTGGAGTGGCCTAGCCAGTCACCAGACCTCAAGCCCATTGAAAATCTGTGGAGGGAGTTAAAAGTCCGTGTTCACTGCTCTCGAGAAGATCTGCATGAAGGAATGGGCCAAAATACCAGCTACTGTGTGTGCAAACCTGCAAAGACAATAGTAATCGTTTGACCTCTGTTGTTGCCAACAAAGGTTATTTAAGTATTGAGTTGAATTTTTGTTATTGATCAAATACTTATTTTCCACCATAATTAACAAAAAATATAATATATAATTAACAAATATAACAGTAATGAATTGCCAAGGTCAACCAGTGTCTGCAATCAGTGACATTATTGCTCTACAATGTTTGCCTGCATGACACATTTTGCTGATCAAATTAGGCCAATAATTTAAGGCTATTCAACGTGGCATTTTGGTGTTGTAAACAAAAAAAACACCAAAACATGTGTTGGGCCTTAACTAGTGATGGGTCATGCCGCGTCGGCACTTCAGTCTTCAGCCGAGCGCGGGCCGAATCCTGAGTTATTTCAGGTGAGTGACGTCACTAATGACGTTTGAAGCCTCGGGGTGCACAGGGAATGGAGTGATTCATGAAGTACTGCAGAGGATCCGCTCAAACTCTGTGGGTTTGTCTTGGTGATTGATTATTTTGTGATTGAATGAATATTGTTATTCATTGGATAGCTCAGTTGGTAAGGACTACAGTCTATACATAGTTCCCACATGACGTCACTACATACGGGGATTTGCCGACCCGGCGCCATTTGTATTGGCATGCTGTGGGCAAAACAATAGAAAAAGAAGCTGAAAAGTGTTAATGTCGTGATAAAGTTGAAAATGGTCATCTCCTGCTGGGTCAATGGATGTTCAAATCGTGCCGGAGGTTCCGTTAAACTTGGATTTTACAGTATACCCATCATTAGACTTGTGAGAAATGTGAGAAGACTAAGCTTTTGTCAGAACAACCACGGAGGTTATGGCTTGCGAAGATAAACAGGCAAGAAACTCCCTCAAAACACGCAAGAATATGCTCGGAGCACTTTGTGTCAGGTGCGTATCGTATCTTATAATGTGTTGACAGACGTAATGTACTCAGTACATTAAAATAATAACAATTGTAAACCGCTTTGTGACTCTGGTCTGTGAAAGGCGGTATATAAATAAACATTACTTACTTACTTACTAACTTGTGTATGCTGATATCTGGTAACTTGAGAGTTTCATTATTTAGCGTTAGATTACTTTATTATGAGGAGGATCGGTGTCGTGTCCGAGGCTCTCGAGGGCAACGTAAATGTATTAAATAGATAATAATAGTTCTATGGTGGGCTAAAACAATGTTCACAAACAGCATTGCTTCTGTAAAAAGATCTGTGTCATAAAATAAACTGCTCTTTACGCCTGGAAAAATCAGTTGCCCACCATTCACCAAAACATACGGTCAAAAACGCGGAAATAAACAATAACAGCAATCCAGAGTGTCCGTGTGGCATTAGCATTAATTAAATGAATTGTTAATATAATTAAAATAATTAAATGGAGCTCCAACTGGTATTAAATCTAAAGTTTTTGAGAAATGTTTGCATTGCTTGTTAATTTTTGCTGCATAATTTGATCAAATATGTAAAACATGTCCGTAGCACGTTAAACTGTGGTGCCATTGTATTAATATACAATTATTTGCTCAAAAGTTGCCCTTTTTTCCAATTTGCGTTTGAATATCTACATTTATTCTCATTCTTCTGTTTAATGGAATGCACAAACACAGCAGCGTGCCATCAAAGATGGCGTCTCCGAGGAGGTCATGTGACATTCATTGGTCTGTGGGAACTATGTATAGAAAGGACGCAGGGCTAGTGTCTGGGAGATATGGGTTTGATTCCAGCTGAGAACACAGTAACACCAATTTATTTATTTTTAAATACCTGCGAAAGTTATTGGTTTTAAACAACTGATAGGTCACAATCCCAATTTATATCCCCATCTGTGTCACAGCCTTTGCAAAGCACTTACACTTTCAACATAGGTCTTTTGTCCTATTGGATTTATAACATTGATTTTGACTTGACAAGCTATAATCAGTCATTATTAAATATGTATCTATATCTATATATATATATGTTTGTGTATTAGAGCAGACAACTGTACCAGTTACCAGTACATTATAATTTTATTGTCATTTAAAATATATTTGTGATTACTGATAATCATAATCAAACAGATCAATTAATGGGTCATACACAATCAAATTACATTTATATTTCTGTTACCAGTATAAATTCCTATCCAGCAAGAGCCTCACAAACAGTTCAAATGTCAATACAGATTTTGACCAACAGGGTGTTTGTGAACATATGAAGAGTCAAGAAATTAACCTTTTCTCGAACCAATAGATGGAAAGGTTCAACACTTCATGAGGCTTCATCAACCCATCACTAGCCTTAACCACAGTGATAAGAAGAAAGCCTTAACCACCAAGTGCAGATAATATATACAGTCTATGGTGCAGATGTGCGGTCTACTTACCATGTCCAAAGTAATGCATGTGAATTCCAAGCCACTTCCTCACTTCTCAAAGCTTTATCTTCGCCTGGTCCAAAGGGTTAAGAAGGCACACAAACACGACCCTCCTTCAGGCACCTCTGCTCCACAGGTCAGGGGGTGGGACCATAGACTGTATATATAGGGTGGGACAGCTCCACACGTGGTACACAAGTTGGAAGGATGCAAAGTAGCGAAGTAGCCTTTCTGCCAGAAAGACACTATACCAACCTATAGATCCATGATACCAACTAGTTAGGCTTGGTCTGAACCGATAATATACACATTCATCCACCTGTGGTCAGGAAAAGCTGCAACATTTCACGGGTTATAGTTTTGATTTGACGTGTATTTTATTTCCCTTATTGCATCACAAAATGTCGTAAAGCGAATTGAAATTCCAAGAAGTGAACCAGGGCCAAAGCGGTCGAGCTGATAAGACTAGTCATTTGCTACTTGTCAATTTCATGTTCAAACTTTCTAAATAAGGTTCATGCGTGAACGACATCTGCATTTTTGATGATTACTTGAAAACATTCACAGCCTCACCTGCTTTGAACCAGCAGTCAATATAATCAATAGCATCGAGGCAAACATTATAAAATAAAATTAAAAAAAAAAAACATTTGAAATAATGTGGAATTCTGGTGTGACGTATATTCAGTTATAGGTTCCTGTATTGCAATCGCTCTATTTACTGTATGATTGAATTGAGTGTGGAACATTAGCGACCCCTTGTGGAGGTCAATAGGGATCAGAATGCTTAAGACACAACATTCCACTTAAAAATAGAAATAGGCCTTTAGGTTTCCCACACAGAATTATTGTGAAAAAGACCCATATCACACATTATACTGCCAAATGTGTATGATGTTTCAGCATGATATAGAAACTTAAATAGAACAGATGAATAGCATATTTGAAGAAATAAAGAGACAAAATACAGAACAAACTTCTTTACTAACAAACATGTTCAAACTGTACCCTGCATTTAAATATTGTAATACAACATTGGAACATTGGGGATATTTGATCTTTTCTCTCAATCAGCGAGTGAGGTTTGATTTTAGACATAAGGTTAGTGGTTTCAAAAATGTAAAAGTGCATCTACTTGACTCATTTATACAAATATCAAAAATATACATTGATAGCGTACAATGGACACTTTAGTCGTAGAACCTACATTTGTTCAAATTTCCATTGCATCAGGAGATTCATTCAGCAGTGACAAGTCTAACGCAGGCAACGGAGTTCTCCAGAAGTGAAAACTGTTGAAACGAATGTCTTCATCTGTTTTTTCATCCACCTGACAAAGGGACGAAGGGAAAGTTTAAATAAACAATCAAGTAAAGGAATAAACATTGCAAAAACGGCACAAAAAAAGAAAAAGATTTCACTTATATAGACATTATGTAATAAGTGGTGCCATAATTATTGTGTTTCCCAACATGTACAGTGACATAAAATTAATATTTCACAATCGAATAATGTGTGACGTACAATGTGTATAATATGAGAAAATTGTAAATCCCTACAAATTATCAATTTGGACATGCTGCACAATTGCTCTATGAAATTGAAAGCTGGGGTACCACAAGAAAGTAACTAATTAAGTCCAACTAACTAGTTTTGCCTGCACTTTTCCTCTCCGTCACATCTTTAGATCATCTTTTTACAGACAGAAAAGTTGAGAGGACCATTCTCACTAATTCAATCCACTATCAAAGCCCAAAGCATCAAATAGTGACCATAGACTACAAATATTAAAATAGTGACTCAGGGATTTGTCTGACATGTATGCTTAGAAATAAATAACTTATTATAGTGGGTGAACAATAAGAGGTAGACAACATGCTGTGGCCCCACTTGCTCAGCTTGACAATACCTTTTAGGACACGTGAAATATATTGTTTATGAAAAGCTGTTACCCCAATTAGCAGGTGCTCGGCATTTTTAGATCAATTGTGCCATCTAGTGGCGTCGTTGCGTCATTGCACTCAAAGTGGCCTAAAAAAACGTGGCTCGCATTGCAGTAGGAGTAGTAGATTACTGGGTACATGATGTGGCGCACTTACTGGTACTTGGTTGATATTGGCATCTGCAGTCTCTCCGCAGTCGCTTTTAGCTCGTTTGTTGGTGGGTTTGTGGTTCGTAGAGTTTTGCGGCTTTGGAACATTTCCAAAAGTCTCCTGATGGCGCATAGTGTTCGGAGGTGCGGCGTGTTTCTTCATGTCCCTTTGTGCGTTCTTGCACAAATGCGATGTTTCAAAGTCGGAATCTTCTTTTTTATCGAAGTACAATGGTCTTTTTCTGCACCTACTTCCCAACAGCGTGAGCAAAGACCGCGCGTTCACAGCTACGGACGGAGTGACGCTTTCGAACGGCTTCTCAACGCCGCAAATCCCGCGACATTTCTTCGAAGAGTCGCTGAAGGAGATGTCGTCGGTGGCGGGTCTCTTATTCATTGATATTCATTGAGATGTTTGTAAAATACAATAAAAACGTTTCTGTGACTATGATCGTGACGGTTTCAGTCTACCCGGTAGTAGAAAGTGTAAGAAGGAATAAGGGACCAATCAAAGTAAAGAATAGTTTAACCTCGCCCCCACTTTCTCTGACTCCTCCTTGAAGTATTTAATTAAAATTTCTAGTTCAATAGCAGATAATCATTCATTGACACGTGCCCACTTCTTGTACGGTTGACACATGAGGTCTGAGATCATACCCACTTTTTTTTTTTCATGTTAGTCAATTTTGTATTTTTGTATTGCTTTGTCTTTCTCATAGACTAGTCTTTCTGCGTAAATAGTATGTACGGTTTTGTTTGTATTGTTTACATTAATAGTTAAAAAAAGAAATTCAATGCCACTATATAAGATTTTGAAACAGTTTATTTGTATTACTATTTTTAAAAGTAGACAATACATGGTCAAGAGAACAACATTTTAAGGCAATAAAAGTTATTGGCATTGGCATCACATTGGGCATTGGAACAAACTTTAACATATAAATGTTGGGAATTACGTCTGGGTATAGGTAAATATATCAAGCTGGAAATGAAATGCTAGTTATTATATACCATAGTGTTCATCTTTGTCTGGTTCACATGTCAGATAGAACACATTAAAGATCTATGAAATACAATTCCGTCTGCTTGAACCACTGCATGCATCCTGAGGAAGGCAAGTGGCAGAAATTGTGGTGCATTTTAGAGTTCTATAAGCCATGTTCAAATGAAGGCTTTATCACTTTAACAGTTAAATGTTATTGTCTGCAAGGACGGAATTGTATTTACAATAAGGAATTCACCAACAATCTCCAAAGAGCACCAGGCTGGCTTCAATCTCACATTTTTTAACATCATGCAGCGCTCCTTATACTTCTCTGAAAGTTCCATGAAATGTCTGCAAAATATGTAATTTCCAAAAATGTCCATTTGTGTGCCATAGTTTTTAAATAGGGCAATAATGTCAATAGATGTCCATGACGTGTCACGTCAAGCTGTTCATATCTTCTCGCCGAGCAGACTTTGGTGCTGGTGGCAAATTCTGTTCTTTAAATCCATTATACTGTTTTTCCACAGGTTTACGAGCCACAAAAAAGACACAGTCGTATACATACCGCAACATGGAATGCTCGTTCTCTGTGTAAGTTGCCAGAACTGACTCCCTTTCAACCTGTTTAAAAAAAAAAAAAAAGGTTTAAACAATTCCATGTTTTCATGTTTTCCTATTCAATAATGTTTACCTCTATCTGGAAGCCTAAATTAACTATTGCCGCTTTGAGGTCTTCATAACTTAGTTCCACTGACAACTCATTGGCCATGTTCTCAAAGTGGTACAGGAGAGGACCTACAGAAAACAATACACTTTAGAGATGAAATAGTTCTTATACATAGATATAAAGACTGGTTACAAAGCAACAAACCTAAATTAATCCAGGCGCCCCCAGGCTTGAGAATTTTCCAAATGGTTTCAATATATTCAATTACATTATGAGCTGTGTCAATAAAGAAGCAAGTTGCCACACAGTCCCATGAATCTGTTCAAGACCAATGCCAAAGACAGTAATACAAAATTATGAAATGTGGAACGCCTGAAAAGATGTTCATAGTTGTAATACCTTGCTCTGTGTAGACTTCTACAAAGTCACCTGCAACCATGGAGAAGTCTGAAGTTGGTGGCAGACTTTGGGGGTTCACGTCAGGGAATTGGATTGCTCTTGTCTGGTCAGACGATTTCTTATGGTTGCTAAACTGGTGGATCCAGGGGTACAGGGTAAGAGAGTTCACCTTTTCACACCTGTATTTGGCATTGTTATGTTTAGCAGTTGTAGATAATCAACATGACACCTTACAATAAACATGACATGAAATGATTTCTTTCTTTGTAGTATCAGTTTATAAAAGACATGCCTCATTTCAGCTCCTTCCACTTATTCTCACTACCCAAACACTTCCTCAAGCCCACTGTTAAACCCCACCTCAGCTGGCGGGCACTTCTCATTCCCTGGTGCACGCAGCCTCTCTGTGGAGGAATCTTTTTCCAACCGCGAGAATCAACGACCGTGTCCTTTTGGTCAATACCCAAATTCATGACCATATATGTGTTTTTTTATTTTAATTTTTGGATCCTTTTGAGACTACAATATTGATAGTTACAATAGAAACATGTAGTTTACATACACTGCACAAAAATATGTTTATTTCACTGTCTGATGTGAAATCTCACTTTACACTTTTTTGTCCCCTTAGGGAAACGTGTCCTCTTCATTGGACTAGGGCAACCTGGCTATTGTTCTGTTTTATGCCAGGTATTATTGAGAGATGTGTGTGTCTTTTTTACCTACACAAAGAAAATTACTATGTATTTTAAGAAATAATTGGAAAAATAGTAATGCAATGCCCTTGGCAGGAATCTTAGCCAACCATTTGAGTTAATTTGAGGCACAACTGTAGGAGAATGTTAAGGCCTCAAAGATGCCGTTTTCATTTTTGACAAAATAGTCTCAAAAGGAGGTACGTTCAACAAAGTTATTCAATTATAAACTTATTCAAATATAAACATAAATACCATTCAGGAGGGAGACAAGAGCTGTGTCCCAGACATGAGAATGTTTTTGTTTGGTTGAAATGTACAAATCAACCCAGAACAAAAGCTAAAGAAGATGTTGGCTGAAGTTGATAAGAATGTCATTATCCAAAGTAAAATGAGTCTTGAGTCTTGGGATGAACAACTGCAAGAAGAAGCCATTACTCCAAATAAAACATAACAAGTCAGATTTGTAAAAACATACAGGACAAATATCTTTGCAGTGGCCAGATTAAACTAAAGGGGACATGATGACGTTATATAAATTGGGGGAAAAGGGGAGAACACAGTTTCAACTCTAATGAATGTGATGCAGTCTCATGTTGTAGGGCTGTTTTGTGGGTGTTGATCCCAAGCACACAGCCATACTTACAAAATGGCTAAAAGACCTCAAGATATATATTGGAGTGTCCATTGCAAACCCTATGTGGGCAGATCTCAAAAAGCATGAGACAACCTACAAACCGCAAGAAAGTTATACCAGGAAATTGTCTAAATGTAATTTTGTGACTGTTTGTGAGTTGCTTGAGGTAGATATCCAAAATGTACAAATCAAACACCTAGCAATTCATAATTAAATATAATGAAACTTATTTAGTTAGAAGATGAGCTAGTGTATATAGTGTACAACACACATAATTAGTACCTATTCAAAACGAAGTTAGAAGAGAAGAGCATGTAGAAGCTCCATTCATTTCCTTGGCAAATATATCCCAGACGGGCAATCTCCCAGGCCAGGCGGCCAAGCCCTGCTCCAGGGACCAGCACACTAACAGTCGATACATCACTGGGAGAAAAATCATTATCATGATGAAGAACTCAATCTGAAATTAAAGTCACTAAGTATCGTAAAAATCTGCTTACCATCTGTCACTTGGAAACAGTCTTTGGATCTCTTTTATAATTGGCTGGTAGCACGAGTCCCTTTCAGCTCGTCCAGTTTCACTCCAGTCTCTGACAAACTGCTTGATAGTGGATTTAAGCTTGTCCATGTCAAACGTAGAGGAAGGATGTCTCTTTGGTTCTTCCTACCAAAGGAATATATATATTATGTGTAATTATGCGTGTATAATAATACACATTCATATAGTCCCAAGCAAGACAAAAACATATTTCACATATTTTCATAGAAAATACTATCACGCAAAGAATAAATTACCATGTCTCCATATTCAGTATTTTCAAACATGTGGATGCTGTTATTCACAATTGCTTGCAGCACTTCATCATTGCAGTTTGCACATTCACTAACACGTTTTAAATTCATCAAAACACCAGGGAGCAATGCTTGGTGTTGTTTCGGAAGACTCAAAACCTGTTGCTCTGCACGCTTGATCCTCTCCTGAACATGGATTCTGGGAACGAGAAATATTACAGAAGTGAGCTTCATTATCCTCACATGTCACATATGGCCAGCTAATGGATACAGAAACATCTTCTGTGGTCCCTTTCTTGTCGTTTGATGCATGCAACATGTTGAATTGTCAGGATACATTATGTGCATTCAAATTACACATAGTAATTATTTTCCCAATCCAGTTATGCCACAAGTCTTTTGCATTGGGGCTATGCTAGCAAGAAAAAATGAAGTGCATTAGTTCTCTGGGATTTACAATAAAATAATCGGGGTCTAGGCAGAACTGCATTCGGGAAAAAGCGTTTATTTTTAAGGAGGCTTTGCCGTTGTGCTTGTATCGATAATAATGTCTATCGTGTACCTGTAATATCTAAAAGCATCAAAAATTCTCCAAAAATGATCTCTTTCCAGTCTGGCTTCCTCTTCAGGACTATACTGTATTTCTCCTTTGTGATAATATGGTCCATTTTCTGGAGGACACTTTTCTGTTTTCTCCGCCATGTTTGAAACAAAGAAGCCACTTCCGCTCTGGATTTGACCCGAGAAACTGAATCAGACGGTACTGCCCCCTACCGAAGAGAAGTACGTTATACTCGTCCCTAGTCCCTGCTGCGCTGATGTACGCAATCAAAAGTTTTGTTTTTGTTATCATTATTTATCATATTAATAGTGGTGTTTGAATTAATTTTCATGTAGCTGCTTTAATTATAATTTTCATAATTTTCCAAATATTACATTTATTAAATGGCATGACTTTAACTTATCTTCTTAACAACCAAGAAAGCTGTGTATGATGCAAGCTATACATATATATGCCTATTTTTGTGTAAGCTCTAAGACGTACAGGGATTAGTCAAAGCAAAGGAAGGTTTCTCGCCCATCATCAAGAACTTTTTCTGAGATGTAATTCCCTTGAAAAAGTTATTTGGATTAAGCACGAAACGTTGGGAAAACCTGCTAAGAAGTACAGATGATGGGTGAGAAACCTTCCTTTGCTTTACATACGCCATATGTCAAAACATCAATCAAACAATCTTTAGTTATTAGGGTTGATGATCTTCCCCACAAACAAAAAGTGTTGTGTTTCCCAGATCAAGATGAAAACCATTCATGTGCGGTTGAACTGGGTTGGAACAAGAAGGCAGAAAATGTATGTAGCAGCTGCTGCAGAAGCCCCTTTCTGCTTTGTTTGGTTAAAAAGTGAAATATTATTATATTTTGGTTTGGATTCATGACTACAGTACATAGCATGCATCTTCACTTCATAAATGTTTGTAAAAAAATATACAAAAACCAAATGCTATGTGTAGAAAGTGACCTAATGTTGTCGCTGATGTAGTAAGCTTAAACGAAAACAGTAATGTAATTGTGTGTACCAACTGATGGAACTTGTCAAGTATAAAGGGTATAGTGGGAATTTTGAACAAAATTACTCCTTGTTTTTAAAGTACAAATATTATATATCCATCCATCCATTTTCTTCCCCTTAATCCATCTCTGGCAATCAGAGCTGCACCCAGTACGCACGCATGGCACCAGTCCCTCACTGATCCTCCTGCAGGTGTTGAGTCCACAGGAGCCTATCTTCCAGCGGAGGCTTCAGGCAAAGTAGGGTTAAGTATCTTTCCCCAGGACACAATGACAGCAGTCACCAGCAAGAGTCGTGAAGTAGGTCTCGTGGTGAGCTCGAACTCCCAACCTTCAGGCCCAAAGGCCAATGCTCTTCCAACTGAGCTATTGTCGCCCCAATATTTCACATATAATAGTATAGTATAGCACGAGAGAAAAGGTTGTAATTTTAACTATACGAATTTGGAGTAGTAAAAGTGTTATAGTTCTATAAGACCATAATGATCTGTTTAACGGCCTGGGTTGTTGGCCTGGTCAGCATCACATACAGATGCACACCCCGTAACAGTGGCAGTAAAAGAGAGAGTAGTTCAGGAAATACAACGCATGGCAATGATAGCAAGGCAGATAGTGTAGTCTTCAGCTGGTTACACGGGCACCAATATTATCATGGTGTTCTATATTACCCATTTGATGTTACTGTATGTGAGTGTATGTGCGTGTGAATGCATATCTAGTAATATTTGTGGCTTGGGGTGGGGGTGGTCAGGTTGACCAGTCAAGGACATGTGGGATAATTTTTAACCAAATTGTAAAGCACTGTGTTGCAGTTTTTGTATGACTTAACCTCCTAAGACCCGAGCACTTTTTTGCAATGCATTTTTTATTTATCTTGGCTAATTGGGCATATTGGGGCCAGATAAGAATATATACTAAGCATCATCTTTTGACATGATGTACATTTTGAGATAAATGCTGTGGACGCTCGGTCTGAATTTCCATAAAAAAGGCAATTAAGTAACGACTGTGTAATAAAGTGAAAAATGCTTTATTTCGACACAAACTTTTGATAAATGAACAATATTGAACAAGAAACATGTTCAAACATATCTCCGTGCAAAAACAGCAAAAGGAGTACTCGGATGATCCTGGGAGCTATGTTATCTGGGGATTCATGCCCCTGGTAGGGTCTCGCATGGCAGGCAGGTCTTGGATGACGAGTCAGACGAATCGCAGTACAAAGCCAACATAGATAGCATGATATTAAGAACCGTGACGTCGCCCAGCATGGCACAGGGGTTGCAGAGGCAAAAACCCGGGACTGGGAGGAGTTCGGAAAGTCCATGGAGTATAACTATTGGTCGCCCATGAAGATATTCTGGCGCCTCAGGAGGCGCCAGAATATCTTACCTCCATCAGACCTCCACTGGGGATCTTGTCGGGCGGTGGAAGTAATACTTCGAGGTTCTCCTCAATCCCCCCGTCACGTCCTCCAGAACGGAGGCAGAGGCTGAGGATGTTGGTGCGGATACCTCCATCTCCCTGGCAGAGGTCACCAAGATGGTTGGCAGCCTCCATGGTGGCAAGGCTCCGGGAGTGGATGAGATCCGCCATGACTATCTAAGGTCTCTTGTAGGACTGTCTTGGGTGACATGTCTCTGCAACATCGCGAGGCGATCGTGGGCAAACTGGGGTGGTGGTCCCTCTCTACAAGAAGGGGGACCAGAGGGTGTGTTCCAATTATCGTGGGATCACCCCCCCCCCTCAGCCTTCCCCATAAGGTCCACTCCAAGGTACTGGAGAGGAGGCTACGGCCGATGGTCAAATCTCGGATTCAGGAGGAGCAGTGTGGTATTCGTCCCGGCCACGGAACACTGGACCAGCTCTATACTCTTCATCGGTTCATTGAGGGTTCATGGGAGTTCGCCCAACCGGTCCACATGTGCTTTGTGGATTTGGAGAAGGTGTTCGACCAAGTTCTCCGGGATGTCCTTTGGAGTACGGGGGTATTCTGCTGAGGGCCATACGGGCCCTGTATGACCGGAGCCAGAGCTGCGTTTGCATCAGCAATAAGTCAGACCGTGTTGGCCTCCGCCAGGGCTGCCCTTTGTCACCGGTTTTGTTCACTGTGTTTATGGACAGAATTTCTAGACGCAGGAGGGGGTCCGGTTCGGGGATCACAGGATTTCATCTCTGCTTTTTGCAGACGATGATGTCCTGTTGGCTCCCAGGTACCTTGCCCTCTCCAGGTGGGTGGAGAGGTCCTTCGTCAAGTGGAGGCGTTCAAGTATCTCGGGGTCTTGTTCACGAGTGAGGGAAGGATGGAGCGTGAGATTGACAGGAGGATCGGTGCAGCGTGCGCAGTGATGCGATCGCTGTATCGGACCGTTAAAGAGGGAGCTGAGCCGAAAGGCAAAGCTCTCAATTTACCGGTCAATCTTCGTTCCCTCCCTCACTTATGGTCATGAGCTTTGGGTAATGACCGAAAGAACGAGATCGCGGATACAAGCAGTCAAAATTAGTTTCCTCCGCAGAGTGGCTGCTCCCTTAGAGATAGGGTGAGGACCTCAGTCACACAGGAGGAGCTCGGAGTAGAGCCGATGCTTCTCCATGTCGTGAGGAACCAGTTGAGGTGGCTCGGGCATCTGTTCCGGATTCCTCCTGGACGCCTCCCTGGGGAGGTATTCCGGGCACGTCTCACCGGGAGGTGTCTCTCAGCTGGCCTGGGAACGCCTTGGGCTCCCCCCTGACAAACTGGAGTAAGTGTGTGTGGATAGGGAAGTCTGGGCATCTCTGCAACCCGGCAACAAATGGAGCGGAAGAAAATAGATGGATGGATGGATTTAACTCATAAGAAAAAGACTAAATCAAAGAGCAAGTAAGCACTTTTGGAATTATATAGTATGCTGGAAGCACACTGGCTTGATTCAACAGGTGGCCCTTTTATTTGATGGTGACATAGAAAAACTTGACAATAATAGCAAAAAATTCCATTGAACACAGGTGCATTTCACATGCAATTAGAACAATTTTCCACAAAACTAAGTCCTTCTGTCCACATATGTGGACATCATGTTTAGCAGTCCAGACAATTGTTTTTAAATTGTATTATTGTAAAATGTACATGCCATGACAAACTTACATCTTACTTATAAACTATCTGAACAAGAATACTCTTTGAAATCGGATTGGAATTTTTACTTGGTGGATTTTTTGGTTGGGAACTTGCATGTGAACTTTCCTGTGCACGCACGGTCAGCCATTTTGTTTTGTGTTAGCTTGTGCTGTAATTCCTCCAACACTTCTAGAGGGCAGTGTGGGTATTGCTGTATGTGGACCCCAGGCCCCAATAAATCAGGATGAAGTATTATGTTTGTACAGCCGAAAATGTGATGTCCACACAAGCACTTTATAAATGTATGTATGTACAGTATGAACCCTTTACATTTTATTCAATATATCAAAACTATCTGCTTCTTAGAGTGGAAGTGGTTGTGTCTCACAAGCCAAATGTAAAATGTTACACATTTGCTAGATGCCAATAAAATAATTTGCCGTGTTCAAAGCACTGTATTGTCCTTACCTCCATATACCCCCAGTTCCTGCGTTACATTTTTTTTGGCCAGAGAGCCATAGGTCACTGCATGGACCATTGACTACCTCTCAAACCGACCACCATCTACGCATTGGACTTCAATGGTGTGAGCGTAACCACCTGTGCTTGACAACCAGTAAGGCCAAGGAGATGGTAATCGACTTCAGAAAGAAGACACTATCCCACACGTTGCTGAACATCCAGGGGAGGACATGGAGCTGGTGGACAGCTTCAACTATGGGTGTTCACTTCAACAATAAGCTAGACTGGTTCCACAATATGCCTTGTATAAGAAGGGCCAAAGTCGCCTCCACCTTCTGAGGAGACTGAGGTCCTTCGGAGTGAGCAGGCCTCTGGTCAGGACCTTTTATGACTCCGTGGTACCCACTGCCATCACTACGCTGCCCTGTGCTGGGCCCCAGGCAATACAGAGCGGGACAGGAACAGACTGAACAAGCTGGTCAGGAGGGCCAGCTCCCTGGACTCTGTGGAGGAGGTGAGTTACAGGAGGGTGCTAGCGCCCACTGCACAGGACTGTAGAGGACAAATAATTAAGGTTTTAGATGGTCAAAGCACAAACTTATGGTTTTAGATGGTGTTGTTAACATCATTGATGATTTGTTGTTGTTTTGAAACTAGAAACAAGAGCATAAACAAAGACTGAAAAAGATTTTGGACAGAGCAAGAAACAGGGTGAGAATACAGAGTGTTTCTTCCTGACAAAGGTTTGAAACCAGATGAGGAAAAGATGACAGCAATGACGCACCTTCTCCACAGGACTTACAAGAACTGTTAGGATGGCACGGCTGTTCACTGGTTGTTATTATCATCATTTACTGTCTATCTCTAAATAGGGCTCTACTATGGCCAAAAAGTCAAAACATAACATATTGTAAATCAGGTTTAATGCAAAGACATACATTTTGCATCTTTAGATATTAGGGTTGATGATCTTCCCCATAAACAAAATGTCTTGTGTTTCTCGGTTGAAGATGAGAACCATGAATGGGCGGTTGAACTTCAGAACTGGGACGACACGATACGACAGAAGAGTAATCTGGACTCCAGTAGCAGCTGCTGCTGTGGCACCAGTCTCGTCCACATCCAGAGTAGCCTTATGAACAACCTGAAGGTTACAAGAAAAATGCAATTCATGTCTGAATGCTTCTATCTGAGGTTAATAACTCCCTAAAAATCAAAAGGAGGTAAGTAAGAAAAATACCTCTGATACAGCTAGTTTCTGCCCCACTGCAATGCCACTCAGATCTGCGCGGTCACCAAACATGTCAGTCATCCCCATGTCACTCAATATTTTCTTCATTGAGTATGATGTCTTGATGGAAAACTTTGGGAGAAATATGTTGAATCTCCTAATGAATAAAATATTAGTACAACTCTTGATGATGGATACAATTTTGACCAACCATGAAAAATAAACATATCTTACTTAGATTTCATCCATTTGAGCCATTTAGTGACATGATTTGGGGAAAGGGCTCTCTCCAATGTCTCCATTTCAGTTGGCAGCATCAGCAGCATTGAGTAGGAACTGTTGAAGGGAAGGTGCAGCACGGAGGTGTTGATTGCTTGATCATAATAAACTTCAAAGCTGTCCTCTTTTCCCATCATCTGGACTCTTACCTGTAGACACAGCATATTATGTAACAACAAACATCTGTTATTCAAACTTTTCTGTCTCCACTAACTTCAGTGTTTTCATCAACTTCAAAAGTGTCTTCTCTGGTTGACTGGGGATCAAATGGTGTTTCCCATTTTCCTATGAAAGATTTATAAAGATTTATATTGTAGTTATTAATAATACCCTTCAGGTATAAATGTGCACACACACCTTTAAAATAGATGTAGCTGAGAAGGTACATGACAGTAGTTTCATCCAGACTGTCCACCATCTTGTCTATCTTTCCGTTGGTTTTGTCTGACACATATTTATTGATGGTGTCTGCACTCTCTGTGGTCTTAGTGAAGTCCACTGTAAACCCATCAGTGAAGTAGGATTGCTTAAGCGTGTCCAGAAACTCGGGGTTGGTTTTGAACTTGTCATCCACAAACACAGCGGTGCCTTGGGTGGCATCTTGAGACACATTTTTGTCCAGGAGTCCTCTGAACACATGGTTTACTTGATCCTGATTCAACTGTGAGCTGTTAAAGCCCAGTCCAGTAAAGATCTGTTTGTGTGTGTCTCCTCGGGCACCTATGGACAGAGCTGCCAGTGCCACAGACACACTTGCCGGTGACAAGAAGACGTTTTTGTCTTGGGATTCCGGCTGAGAGGTTATTGCAGTGTACAGACGAAAGGCAAACTCTTTGTTGGCTGTGTTCACCAGAGACAAACTGTTGTCTTGTGTAGTGTCCTGTGTAGTGCCCTGGTCCGACTGAGGGTGTTCAGGGCCTTCATGATGTGGCCACCCCATAATGACCACTGCTGCTAAGCAGAATATCAAAGCCAATCGCAACATATTGACCTGCAACAGATGCAAAGTAAGTGTTAACATGAATATATAACTTAAATTTAATTAATTACAAAATATGTTTTCAGATATCTTACCACCCAAATCCTGCGTTCACTGCCTCTATACAATCACCAGTCACTGAAACAGACTGTAAAGAATGGAACGTCCCATTTTAAAAACTAATCTAATCCACTGAACTTTGAGTTTGTTTATTTTAACTAAACCTAATATTTACACTATCCCTTTATTGGTTTTAAGCAATGATTGTTATCCAACTTTCTCGTCAATAGTTTTTTTGAGAGAATGAAGTTAATGAAAGAATCCAATGCTCTGGTTCTCATAAAATTGAGATTTTCCCATAGTTGGCCGCATAAAGTTGCTTATCTTATCTTGATCAACTATACGTGACAGAAGTATACTTTATATTTTAATAATTATATTTTATTTGACATGTTTTAATCAATCAATCCCATTTTATTTATAGAGCATACAAAACGATGAATCACAGTGATTTACAGTCTGGTTAGGAACAGTCCATGCCCATGACCCGTCGACCACTCAACTTACCCACCCCAAACCATATATATTAATAACACGCACGCAACTGAATACAAAATCAACTATCCTGCTAAAAAAGCTTTTTATTCAGATCGATAAGTTGTCGCAGAAATCCTCGGTTTGGGAACACCCCACGGGTTTCTTTAACTGCACAAATTGCTTCCACAATTGTCAAATTCTGTTTCAGCATCAAGTAAGCAAGAACTATGGTTGCAGAACGGCTCACACCGACATGGCAATGCACCAGCACTTTTCCTAAAAGTCAGAAATGTACATTTAGAAAATTAACCAACATTTGGAATGTATTCCTGTATTGTACCTCTTTTGCTGAGAGCTCTATGAATGAAGTCTGCAGCCGATTGGAAGTGGACACTCAAGTCAAAATCATACGAGTCTCTGGCATCTATTCCCATGTATTCTATTTGCAATCCCCTGTAAATCTCTGGTTGGCCTTTGTGATTCTGAGCGACATTCAGAATGTGAGAGATTTGATGCTTGTATAAATCTTCCCGATTGTCTGCACTCTTTCTGAAACATAAACAGAGAGTACAGTTTAAGAGTGAATGAAAAACATATATACTTTAAAATAAATGTGTATTTCAGTGCGTGAAGTTGACATTTGGAACAGATTAATCGATGACTAAATTGTGCGCGTGAGTGTAGTGGGTGGTGTGTGTGTGTGTGTGTACGTGTTTGTATTTGTATTTTAATTGGTATGTGTGCTTTGTGTTCTATTTGCAAGAGTTGTTGGAGCCAAATAAGCCACCCCTTCTCACTCCCTTTCTAACTGTTTAATTTTGAACGCTGTTTTATACTGAAAATATAAACGCAGCAGACATTTGAGACATATTTATGGGACGCCACTAGAGGGGGCAGTTCTGAGAGCAATTATGGAAGTGCATGTTGAGAAATTCCATTAAAGGATATAAGGTTTCCCATTCTCATTTTACAATGATTCATGGTCGGATTTTTTTACACATTTGTGTAGCCCATCTGAATTCGATGTACACAATGAGGCATTCAATCTCATTAAGAAAATGTTTGAAATGTTATGTACAAAAAGTTTGGATAAGGAAGTCTGAGCATCTCTGCACGGACGGCTGCCCCCGCGATCCTTATTTCTGCGTTTAACTTCAAATAACAGTCACAAAAATCTCCTTTTCATGCAGGTTTGAAGTGATTAGCCATGGTTCCAACTCCATGAACTCATTGCTTCTATTTTTTTTTTTTTTTTAATCAGATGACATCTGCATTCTCATTATTTTTTTGCAATCCTCATGTCCACTGTATTCTTAATTAAGATCTCCACTTTAAACTTTTGTTCAGAAAAAACCTATTTAATTTGTATATCTTCTCCTAGTCCTTGTATCTGGGGACACGTAAAATATTTATATACATTTTTTTCATTTAAAATTAAAATGTTTCATATGATCCCCTTCAGTTGAACATACAGTCTTTATTGATTAACCTTTTGATGATAAAATTGTTTATCAGAAGTATTAAATACATAAGTTATAGAAATAAATATCATACCAGCTTAAGCAACTGCAATGTTCCATCTGCAGGATGTGTAGTTAAATGTCTGTTTACGAAGACAACTCAAACCACAATTGTGTGAAGAAATAAATGACTAATACTCACTGATCCCCGATATACAGCCTGGGCCACACCTCGTCTGCATGACTAATGATAACTTTGCCAGTGAAAAGAATTTTTTCCAGTTGGTCCACAGCTAAACCTGGAGAACTCAAGTCAATATCCATTTTTCTTGGAGGCGGCATGTCACTCCAGGATGCAGGAAGTTTGGTAATAAATGACGTGTTTTTTTTTCAGTATTACACCGTTAAAATAAAAAAAATTATAGGAATGTTCCATCAAAAGTGTGAACATGAAAGATTCCCCCCAAAAATCCAGAGAAATCTCAGTTGTCCAGGATACTGCTGCAAGTGCCTCTAACCATGCCAGTGCCACTAGCTTGTCCTTAAGACTCCCAGACCCCCAGATCTGTGGGGTCCTTTACAGTTTGAATCAGAATAGCTGTCTATTTAAAGATCTGGCACATGTAGAGTAGTGTGAATGTTCCACTTGGCAACAGACTTTGCTTTTCAAGTGCAAAAGATAGGGGCGCTACAATGATTAAGCCTGTGTCACATGATGCAAAAAGTAATCCATAAACACGTGAGAAAAATATACTTAATTTTTAATTATTACTATCTTTGATTTAGCTTTAACGTTAGTATGATAATCAAGCAGACACCTGTCATGTGTGTAAACATGCATAACATTTTTGACTTTACATTAAGAAAAGGAACAGCACAACAAAGCTAACACAAGTAACAAATGATTGATTCATGCAAAGCAGTGATGTTTTATTCTGATAACTTATCCCAGGAAATATGGCACTCATAACTTATTATTATCATTACATCTACTTAAAAAGGAGTTAACATACTATCTCAATTTCAGCCCTTAAATTTAACATGGGAAATTATCCTTTTAAAGCCTGGAATAATTTGATATTCGACATTTAGTAAATGAGTTATTGACGGTTATCTTTGGAGGCCCAATTTAGTCTAAATCTCATATAGGACAGGCAGGCTCTTAAGGGGTTTCATCAGCAGCACTCATAGCCTAGTTATTTTTTTTCAAGACATGATAAGTTCAACTGTGTTGTCAAACTATCGCAGTACATGCAAGACAAGGGAAAAGTTGACTGATTAACTTTTTCCCCCACACACAGAAAATGTATGCCAGTGAGCAGCTACGTGTTCTGACAGTGTGTCAATGACTACATAGCAGGACTTAAGGTTCATGCAAACAGTTGTCCAATCCAATGGAAGTGGTAGTCTTACAGTCCTGAGGAAACACAATGATGACAATCAGAATAGGTGTCACAAGTTTGAAATAACAGCTGCAGTGTGGCATTAGGTGCCACTTGGATTGCACTACATTACGCTGGCAAAGGCTTTGGAGAGTATGAGATGTCATCAGCACCTCCACTCATAAATTTGAGTGAATTACAATATCAGATATGCACATAATAACATAGCATATCTCATTACAACTGTAGAAGCCTCTTCAATGTTTTGAGTCAACTCAACCATTGCCCATTCAAAAATGGAGTTGATTAAGATTAAAGATATCTTTAAGTCTCACTGTACAAGAACAAGTCCAGCTCAGAAGGCCTTCTTCTCCAGTCGGTCCAATATGGCCTGGATCCTCTGGACAGCCTCCTTTCTTGCCTGACGAACGTTTTCTTGTCCCTGAGTCTCCACAGAGTCCAACACTAGAAGCTCTTTGGTAAGCAGTTCTTCCAAACATCGATAACTCTTGTCTGATTTTTTACCAACAAATTCGTCCACGTCTTCCTGAAGCAGTAGCACTCTGGCCATGACCAGCTGCACCTTAGCCAGGCTGGGGTTATCGCTTAGGGGCTGGGGGTTGGGCTGGCCCGGGGCAGGAGACTGGCTCTGAGCCGGGGTCTGGTTTGAACTGGAGGACTCACTCAGATTTGGTCTGTTGTACATCTGTGGAGGTGAACTTATCTCTGCAGGTTTTCCATTGGAAGAATTTGTCATCTTGGGTTTTGGTCCAACAGGTGGTGGGCGCTGTTCCTTGAATAATATAAGTTTAAAATGATAAAAAACTATTGTTCTACTAATATTAATACATAAACAACAACATTTACCTTGGGCTGGTATGGCGGAGGTGCACCTGTGCCCGTCCCTGGCCATGCAGGAGGATGAGGAGGACGCACTGGATTTCCATAAGGATTTTGTGGAGGTTGTTGACCAGAAGACCATTGCTGCTGTGGAGGGGCATATGCGCCAGAGTGTGTCCAAGCTTCAGGAGACGGGCTTTGAACCGGCTGGCCAGTAGGATAGGGAGGGTTTGAAGGCAATTGGTGGTGACCACCTTCACTGTAGTGTGGATAAGCTCCAGGAGGATATCCTGGACCCTGGAAAAAGTTTAATGTTAAAAATGTCAATACTGACTGTGGACATTTACTCCATTAAGAGGAAATAATAATATTCCAAATACCCCTTGACAGTGAGGTCCAGGATAGTGATGATGTTGGTGCTGGGAAAGTGCTTGCCCAGAGGACCCACTGCTTTGCTCTGCTGGGCAACCAGGATTTGGATAGGGCCCTGGTGCAGATCGCTGGGGATCAGCACAGTAGAATGGATTTGATGGATGAAAACCACTTGAATACTGGGTCTGTGGTGGGTTGTAGACACCATGGCCATTTGGATAACCAGGCATGACCTGATTATGGGAAAAGTACAATGTGTCTTATATCACCAAGGAGAAATAAGACATACAAATAGACAAACAGGGCTTTCTTTAATGGGTTACATCATAGAGCTTACTGTACCTGTGGATTGTACTGCGGCTGAACTCCTGACCCAGCAGGGTAACTGTTTGCATAATGACCAGTAGGATGAGACTGTGGATACCAGTATTGAGGAGGATAGCCAGGATACTGAGAAGCATCCTATAAAATAATAGAAAAAACACTTGCTGATAACGTTATGTTCAACTAATTATTGTTTCTTTAGAGCATTTGATGTTGCTACAATTCCAAACAATTCATTTATGAATGCGAAAGCTAAACAAACCCACTGCCATTTAAATTGTGTTACATTTAAAAGAGCAGAAAAAACATGACCAAATAGAAGATCAGTAAGAGAATAAACGGGTTAGAGATGATTGTAGTTACATTACATAATACCAGCTAGCAGCCTATTAGCCAACAGAGCTAGCGGAGAAAAGAGGATTTGACTGAATCCAAAGAAGCTCTTTGGCGGGGGAAATGCAATAATAAGGACAGTAAAAACAGACATGGCCACTCACCATATTGCTACTGGAGTTCAGTTTATTATTATCCGAGAAACAATTTTCCGAGGACCAGCCAGATTCGCGATTTCGTTCGTTCTGATGATGATGCATCAGCTACACGTCGTCCCCGGCTGCCCTCTTCCTCTGTGCCATTCTAAAACAACAACATCTAAAAGGCTGCGAAGTACGATATACTGTTCAGCAGAAGATTAAGATGTAACAATCCAGAAAAACAGCGACGCCGTCTTGGCCGAAATCGGAAAATAATTGAATGACACTACGGTCGCACAATCATGCCCTGTGTCTTTAAGAAGACACTACAGATGTCTCACTCTGTGCATGTTTAGCACAGATGAATAGATCGTTTTTATGTGTTTTAAATGGATATAATGGAGATATTTAGAATCATATAAGTAAATTAATTCATGAAAAATAACAATAAAACTTTGAAAAGAGGTTTGCTCAATGGTAAGGTAACTTGCACTGTCTATCAACCACGATCTTTGGCACTATGCTACGTCATCGTAAAGTTTGACCAATAAGATAATAGGCATATATAAATGTTTTAGATGTTTTGGCTGATACATACATATATACGAATATCTCACTGCGTTGTTGTTCTATGTTTTATGACTGTGAACCATATGATTAAAAACAATGACTTGACTCTCGCGTGAAGAGTGGAGCGACACCGGAAGTTTGATTCTGTGGAATATAAAGTCGTTTCCGGTGCGTTATGGTTACTAAACGACTTGAAACAGAGAAGGCTCCATGTTACACACAATAATAAACGTTTAGGGGCAACATGAACTACGTACCGGGGACAGCTAGTCTTATAGACGACATTGACAGTAAGTAGTCTATGTGTGTATTGTTCTGTGCTCAAATTGGAGTTTGGAAGAAGGGCATCGTGGATGGATGCTCGTGAAAGCTGCGATGAGTTGCTCTGAGCTGTGTGTTTGTATCAACAACAAAACAAGCTATCTATTTGTATCTTACAGAGAAACATTTAGTGCTTCTCCGAGATGGAAGAACTTTGATTGGTTACCTGAGGAGCATTGACCAGTTTGGTAAGAACTTCCTTTTTTATTCTTAGTCTTTTAATGAAAGATTGTATTAGAAAACATGCTTGCATTGTATTGTTGACTATTTCTACGCTTGACCTAATTTTACGTCGAACTTTGTTCTTGTGTACAGCCAATTTAGTGTTCCATCAAACAGTGGAGCGCATCCACGTGGGAAAGAAATTTGGTGACATCCCACGAGGGATATTTATTGTGAGGGGAGAGAATGTGGTCCTCCTCGGTGAAATAGTAAGTTTAAACTTATACTTTCCATGCATGCATTTCAACCGATTATAGATTGTTGGATGTCGGTGCAGATGTCTGTGTTTCCAACCCCTTTTTTAAACCTGTATTAGTGTTGAAGATATGGGAAATGGTTTTATGCTGGTTTGAAATGGATCCAACTCTTTTGACCTTGCATGTATGTAGTTAAGGGGAACTAATTCTATGTATTTATTTTAGAAGTAGAAGAAAAAAATCCCAAAATTAGGGTCTAAATGGGTATTTTTTAAATCATGTGGTGGGTCAATTTGACCTGAGGATAGCACAAGGGTTAAATGTCATCTTTTTGTATGTTGCTTTTGAATGTACCCAAACTTGTAAAATGCGCCTCAGCAATATCCTCTAAGATCAAGCAGAGCTTAAACATCTGGAGCACTATGCTGTACATGTGAACATAGAAAAAATCTGTGTTTAAAGTAAATTTCTGTAATGACACTCATGATATGCAATGTGACTCCGTAGTGTTTTTATTTAAGTATTGCTGAGAACTTAAACACACAAATTCCAAATCGAGATTACATCAGTGCAAATAAATTATCGTTGTTAAAAGCGTCACTCTGTCTTCAACAAATCGATCAAAAACACCTGCAGAGGTCATTTGGCCAAATTGACCTGCCAGTGATGAAACAATATCCTAAATTTTTCAAGCTGAATTTTGATGACTTTTCCCAACTTGACTGGCACTGGCACATTTGTATTCTTTTAAACCATAGCTAGTTATCGACTAGGAGGCTCGGGTCAGAGCGACCCAAAAGAATAGTGTGAGGGTTTTAAATGGTCTGTCAGGTTCAGTGGAATTCACCATCCTGGGGAAGACCTGACAGTTGAGCAGAAAACTCCTCATTGACACCCTCCAAAAGAAGCTGGATTTTCTCAAAGTTTTGTATTAAATCAGTCATAGGAAGTGGGAAAAATAAGTCACCGGGAGTGGACTGAAGCTGAGATCTCATTCAGCTAAAATCTGGAACACATTCCTGAGAATGTGAGACTGTAATCCTCAGTCGAGTAGAGGTAAGTTTTATTGAAATCACCAGAAAGCTGAGAAAAGAGGCACATGTGCCTCTAGCTGTTTTCAAACCATTCATAGAGCAATGCTGCCATCTGCTGGCTCGATAAAACATTGCCTCAAGCCTTACATATTTGATACAACAGACATCTGGGAACGTGAAAATAGCGGGAGACGCAATTGACGTTAACACGTCAATGGCAGTTAAGGCGTTAAGTGGACTGGCTATTTATGATTGTAATCCCATGCATTTTGATGTTTCAAGGTTTTGAACTATTTGATTTCTTGTGCTCTTAGTGTTTTTTATTTTTTATTATATTCTAGGTTTATGATTTATGCATGATGTGATATGGGTTGTGAGGTGCTTTGTGTTGCCTTGTGTAGGAAAGGTGCTCTACTGGTTGATGGATTGATTTGAAGGTGGAGTTGGTGCATCAAAGCCACTGATCATGGACATAATTACTATGTCTATTACTTTTGTTAAGCCTCTCCTGATCTACAAACGGGAGCATCTTGTGTGGAGAACCCCTCTGGCTCATGAACATAAATTGTAACATACTGGAAGCCATAATAAGGCCTGGCATTTGTCACTTTGTTTGTAATGAGTCTAATATAAAATATTGATTTCACATTTTAAGTTGAATTACAGAAATAATCTATTGAACGATATTCTAAGTTTGAATTTCACTTGTAATACGTCTTTTAATATTTTTTGCAGGATGTGGATAAACCCTGTGACACAGTTTTGCAGCAAGTCCCTATTGAAGAGATTCTTGAGGAACAGCGACTTCAGCAGCAAACCAAACATGAGACCGAAAAAGTCAAGATGCAAGTGCTGAAAGACCGAGGTCTTTCCGTCCCAAAGGCTGACAACTTGGATGAATACTAAAAGTGTATATTTTTGTTTATGGGACTGAAGATTCCTAAGTTTACCTTACTGACGGAAGCACTATAGATTTTTTTTTAATACATTGTAGAGGTGGAGCAGAGGCTGTATACATTTAATTTTATCTTAAAGAGATGGATGTGTCCTTATTTGTCATGACTATCATGAACTAAATCCAATGAATGATAATCATGTTTAGCATTTGTTGCTATCGCACTTTTAAATTGGCTCTCTACTTTTAAGCAACTTGTAGGCTGATTCATGAAGTTAATTCGATTTAAAGTATTCACACAATGGAAGTTGTCACGTTAAATGCATCATACTGTTATGTGCTCATAGGTCAGTCATCATTCTTTTTTTTTTTGCATTAAAAATGACAAATCAGAAAGTAATTGTGTTGATGCCTGAGATCCCATTGTCTTCACCTATAACTTTTCAAATTGTCAATAAAAAATGCTCAAAGACTGTTTTCAAACTGTATGTATAAAAGTATGGCATGGCTTTGACAACTGTTCAGCAATTTTAGGCTTATTGGACAGTATGCTGTCCTCGTGCTACACTTGGTTAGTATTGTCTAATATTAGTCCTTCGTTTAAGACGTTTATATTTAAAATGTTGCTGTGAATGATTTGCCACAAGAGGGCAACACAAATGCTTTCATTTCATCTGATTCAATCAATTGATTTGAAGCTTCAATTGTTTGAAGCAAATGATCTATCCAATTTAGATAATTTCATAAAGTTTCCAGAGTTTTGCACATAAAACCCCCATAGTAAACATACATAGTACTTAGTAAAATTAAAATAACATTTTGTTGTAGAAGGGAAGAAAACCCCACTACAATTGAACGGAAAAATATGAAACTTATTATAGGAGGAATGAAAATGCTTACTGTTGAATCTGAATGAATTTGTTATTGGTAGTTCATTTCATTTGTAACCTGGACAGAAAATGTATGAATGCAAATGTATTTTCTCTGAATGAAAAATGTACTTACGGGATTTTTTTTCTTTTATCACCATGTGTTTTGAAAGAAATTCGAAAATCACTGTGGCCTTTCATTGTTGCATCGAAAGGATAATTAAGTAAGTAATCTTTACTTAAAAAAAAAAACTCTGTACTTTTTATCATACAGATTATCAGTGTGAGTAAAACACATTCCTTGTTTAAACGTGTTAAACTATTCTTTTCTCATGTCTGTATGTAGCAAAGGATGTACGTATCTTTTGTATTTATTTCAGTAAGTAGCGATCCATGTGTTTTGACGTAAACTTCCACTCCGCCCACTGAGATGACGCACAGGGGGAAGGAGGGGTGCTGATGTCCCCCTCTGTCTCTCTCTAGAGGACTCGCCAACCCCGAACTGCAAAGCGCCTCTACCCCGCTCACTGCTGCTGTCAATCGCACGTTGTTCTCAATGTTCATGTCGCAATATTGGACTTGATTGAAGAGGGGCATCAGAATCACGTATGGAAAGGATTGGGGGGGATTGGAACAGAAATGCCCCGCTACCACCGCCGACTACAAGAAGAACCATGCATTGCTTCCATCACAAGCAAAACGATCACACGCTGTTTTATTCCCTACGACTTTGACCGGAGACATTTTCCATTGGTTTGCGAAGAATAAAGAACCCTACGCTCAAGGACGCGTATCTTGGTGCAGACGCCTCATTTACACCAAACCAAGAATCCAGGAGCGTTTTTGATGGAGCTGGAGAACATAGTAGCCAACACAGTATTACTGAAAGCCCGAGAAGGTGAGTAATCAAAGTGCAAATGATGTCTATAATGTGGGTTTGTTGAGCAGTTGTAAGCTCCGTCCAGATGCCCTGGCAGGGAGGGCTTATGCATTGTCACGGGGGATATTGCAGACGCTGTTGGAGACGCCTCTGCTGTTGTCTCTGGCCGCCCTGACATCAGAGCAGTCTGTGATGATGTTTCTGACAGCATTTCCCACCGCAGAGGAGCTCATGCGAGAACTGTCGCGGAGAACTGTCGCCTCCCACATCCGCTTTTGCTGTCCGAGCAAATGAATGCACCCTTTTGCAACGTTTGACATGCTGTGGAGGTCTGCGCGCAAGGCAAAGGGTTTTGTGATTATGTTGTTTGTGATCTTCCCCCGCTGCCTCCAGGTGGTTGCCATCCACAAGTGCCTGAGCGCATGAGAGCGGTGTGCAGAGGGCCACATGTGCAGGAGTCCGCTCTCTCTAGTGTACCCCCAAAAGCAGTCTTCAAACTGGTAACAGCCCTGTGTTGCTTCTGAAGATGAGCAATGGAGCAAGATATTGGAACACAAGCCCATTTTACCAATGTTTGTTTCTATCATTCATTCTCATAAAAGTGAGCATTTTTGTGCATGTGATTTGCATGTGCAATAATAGGCCTCGTTCAACATATCCACCAACAATATTCCAATTAAAAGTGGGCTCCACTTTTACATTGAGTATTTAGTAATAATGTGAACTACTCTCAAATGAGTAAAATTATGTGTTATTATATACAGTCTATGGTGTGTGTTCCCTCAGTGCATGTAAAGTTTTTTTAGGTCACCACCAGTAAAAATGTGGCTTTTGGTTTCATTACGTGCCTGTGATCTTTGTAAAGTCTTTAGATACCATATTTGCTCCAATGAGTAGAAAAAATGATTTGTGTGAATTGTAAAAATCCACTCATAACTTTTTGAGTTAACCAAAAAACTGTTAAACCCAGATGAAAACATATACCCCTGGCGGAGCACCATCCCTTTGGGGCCAGGCTTCCCCTGAAAAAATATATTCTGAAATCTCTGCAGGATGAAAAACAAAAACTATTGCATATGAATATTTTGTTTTTTAACATAATTATTCCAAAATGATGGTATTGGATGTGTTATCTGGATATTTGATCGATCGGCAGAGCCAGTGCATGTCTTTAGAGGATCATCTCTGGCTGCTTAAAGCATAGTTCCTTTTTATGATATGTTTTATATTTCCGTGTGGGTTCACTTTCTGATGTTGTTGATTACATGTAGTACTGATGTTTTTCTGAATAGGAATCCTCTTACGGGAATCCAAAGAGTAGCTCATGAACACATGTTGTTCAATAGCAATTAAATTATGAAATTGAAACTTGCATAATAAACTTAGTGGGATACTGCCATTAAAGCATTGTTTTCCTGTGGAGCCTCTAACATATGGGCAGTGATAAAGGAGATGAAGATAAGAGGGGAAAAACGGCATATCCAGGATGCTCATCTGACATCTCCTGTTTACCATTTCAAATGGCAGTAATGCTGTTATAATGTCGTGAGGCTTCTGCTGAGATTCAATAGTTGGTCATATAATTATGACAAACCACTGATGTGGATTTTATGTTCCCATACACATTTAAATAATTATATGTAGATACATATATCTGATATATGTTCTGTATTAAATATATCTGAAAGTGGGTGACACCCCCGTACACCCCCCTCCCCCATTCTGATGCTAATGACCCTTTCAGTAGTTACAAGGCTGCATGCGCTTGCCATAACAACAAATGAGAAGGGATCCTTCAGTTTTAAACAATGAGGATATGCAATTAAAAATTTTGCAAAAGGACTGGTTTTGGGAAAAGTCATCACTTCCTCCTTTCCCTGAGCACATGTCACGTCCTGGTCTCGCCTTGATCTACAGCCCTTTCACCCAGACGGTATTATATCTAAGTAGATATAATACTGCAATTAAAACTTCTAAGTAGATATAATACTGGCAGATTAGTATTGGAACCAAGCTACACCTTCCCTGGATCCAGGATCTTTCTGTGTGGAGTTTGCATGTTTCCTCCGGGTGCTCCGGTTTCCCCTCATCACCCAAAACTATGAATGTGGTGAGTGAGTTAGTGAGTAGGTGAATGTTGGTGGTGGAATCAGAGTCGTCACCATCGGTTGTTGAGTGGATGGATAGTGACTTTGCTAAGTCTATATCAAGTCTAATTAACAATAGTAAACCAAATTGTGTGTCATAGTGGCGCAGTGGTTAGCGCTCCTATCACATCAAGGGGACCTTCAAAGGCGGGCCTTCAGTTTGGAGTTTGCATGTTCTACTCCTGTTGACGTAGGTTTACCCTGTCACTAGAAAAAGCATACCTTGCAGATCTCTTCAATGATGTGGTTGATCTGGATCAACATGTCCCATTGAAAACATACCCCCCTTATGGGGCCAGAACAATTCATGCGGACACAGATGCACAGGCAGTGCCACAAATTAATAGAAAAAAAAAAATACGCTCTGAACTTTTCTCTATTGATCATGGACATGTGCACTAAAATCAAGAGACACCAATCATGGGGCTGAAACTTGAACTTTCTTTCTCCTAAACTCAGTGAGCCAGGGTGATGGCCTGTCTTTCTCAATGTTTGGCTTAAATATGCCCTCCTCAGTCTTTGATCCTGGCTATGCACACATGTGTCTAATTTCAATAAGAACTTTTTATTTTATATCTTTTGCTTAATGCGTTAAAGTGCGGCTATGTGGTTCTGTGGGCTGAAATAACATGAAACTGGACTGAAAGAATGATCTACATAGCACTGCAGTCACATGTGGTGTGATTGAATTGACAGCTCCTTGTAATGTAGAGCTTTCTTTTACAGTTTTAGAAATTAAAAGAGCTTCTACAATGTGTTCATGTGCTTTCCATTCACAATTCTCTGGCTGGCAGCCGCAGCAGATTCCAGGCCTGCCTGTGTTAAAGTGAATGGGAGTTAAAGCGTCCAGATACCTTCCTTGAATTGTGGAAATGTTGCTGGAGTATTTAGTCTGGAGCAGTTTATAGGATTCCTCTTCACGCTTCTGTGCCTGCTGGCTATTGAGTCTCTGCTGACACATTTACAAAGCTTTTCCTTAAAAAAACAAAAATGCTTTAACATTTCATTATGTTTTGCCTAATATTTTAAGTAATAAATCATGACTTCTAAGGATGCACCGTCTTACATCTTGTGACACCTGATCTTCCTAATCGTTGCCCATCTGAGTACTTGTGTATATATTTAATTATATTTATTATTTTGTTTTGTTGATTATATTTTGTTATTTTGTCTTACTTATTTTAGGTGGAAACAGTACAATAAATATTATCTTGTAATGCTATAGGCCGTCCAACTTGTTTTTTGCAAATGATTTCTATAGATGCAAATTCATTTCCGTGTCATTCCAGTTTATTTGTACAGCACAATTCATACACAAGGCAACGCAAAGTGCTTATCAAAACAAGGTAGAGAGTTTAATACTGTCCTATGAAAGTCCTATTGTCCACATCAAGGCAATTATTTTACTCATTGTCTTTGAAGTGTGCAGATATTTTGATACAAAAGAACAATTAAGAAGTGTGAGGTGCTAGTATCAAAGTAGATGTAATACTGGGATACTAGAGTAATTATTCATTTTCTTTGAATCTATCTTATGAAGTACTTATGAAGGAGCAACCAACCGTCTGAAGAAGATGACAAAGTCTGGGATTGTGTCTTTAATTCAGACAGAAGACATGTTTTTTGTTGTTGGTAGAGACAGCACAAACACGAACAAACGTTGCAGACTGCAAGTGATAATATACAGCGGAGGAATGGAGTCCATCAGCTTTCGCCGCGATGCCATGTAGCTTCAACCTTGAGATAATCAAAAGTTAAACAATGGAAAAGGAATGCCTTGTGCATATTGTTAGAATGATGAGTTTAACGTCTCTTAAATGAAACAACTTACTGTACTGATTTACAAAGTCTCACATAAACCTTGTCTATTGTTAGTTGATTACCACCCAATACTTCTCCAAACCTTTACTTTGTCCAAGAAATGTGCTCCTGGTTAAACAAAGTGTTGACTCTCTTCATGCCCCAATGGAAATGACATAATGCCTATAGTGGTCTGCCAACTGGAGAGTGGTAATGGATGGGAGAGTATAAAATACACATGGGGCAGTCCTATATTCCTGAAGATTCATTCAAACATACTTTTCTTTGGCCGATCCCCATGCACTTGCAATGCATGCTGGGCCACATAAGCTTTTTCATCAATAAAACAAAATCTTGAAAAAGAAAACTAAAAGAAAAATAAAAACCAAAATGAACCAATTCTTTTAAGTCATTTTAGATCATTATTTTACAAATAAGAATATACATGGATCAAAGATCATATCTAGGGCAGAGGTGTTAAATGTGTAGCGTTTTTGATACTTTCATGGGATCTCAAGATACTTATCTAGAGATTTGTATATTTTTTTTTTTACCCCTAATCCTTTTTTACCTCTACTATAAATGTTTACCCTGTAAATATGGGATACTGTGGTATGTTGGACACCCAGACCGGGAGTGCATACTGTAGCAGTCAAATGCTGTCATACTGGCACTATAAGAATAAGCAAATGCATCCAGGACATTTGTGTTATTCTCTGCAAAGAGAAGTCCTGATGCTTTTTCTCATCCACACCATATCACAAGGCTGCCTGTGTTTTGAGTAGGAGTGTGACTCATTTTTTCTTGAGTGGAAAAAAAATCTGCTCTCTGGCTCTTACTATCTCTATTGTTATTGCAGCTTCTACCCACACATATAGTATACGTAACTCAGTTGGATGCAACAAGTTTATGCCTGTTCTCTGCAGATCGCAGAAAGGCATTTTGGGAAATGATGTTAAGTAGAGAAGAGTGATGAGCAAAAGTGCAAGCATGTTTTGAACGACAGACCTTGTGGTAAGCTGTAAGACAAGACATAAGAGTGTGTGATAGTTAATAATTCAGGTACACTGA